ACTGAATCATTCAAATGGTTGGCAAAATTTGTAATTTTTTTTTTTTGGCTGCACCTGAGCTCGCGGCCCAACAGCTCCCAACTCAAGGATTGGGGTTCAATGTTCCTACCCCAAATGTAAATCCGTTCAAAAGAACAATTGTAATTTTGCCTGGATATAGGCATTATATATATTCTTTCCATAAATATCTCTAATCAACAAAAAAATAAAAATTTTGGCACCATAGCTGGTGTCATGCGTATTCTTTATTGCGGTATTAAGTTGCCAACAACTTTATATGGTAAAATTACTTCACGTTTGACTTTTATGAATTTATAATTGAGTTAGCATTTAGAGGTTTTTTCTTCTAATGTGTTGCTGTACCAACAACTAATGACTATCTTAAGTCATAATTCCCTGGGGGGGCGCTTGCCCCTGCTAGACTTTTGAAAAAAATTAAATAGGTCCTATACTGTTAAAAAAATTAAATAAACTTTTTTTGAAAAAAATAAAATGATATGTTCTAATTTTTATTCTTTTATAGATTTTATAATAAATTACTAACTAAAATAAGTTTAACAAAATATTTTTATTTATTTGACATGCTTGTCATTGTAATATATGCATAATTAATGCTTATTTGTATTAAATAACAAGATAAAATTGATTTAAAATCAGTATTATTAATTCTTTAAAATATTTAATTTTTTTTTATTTAGATCATATTAAGTAATATTTTGTAATGGAAGAGGTTTAGATTGAAATTTAAATACATATAAATTTTAACAAAAAGTTTCACATTTAAGGTCTTTAAAATTTTAGTTTTCGTATATTTAAATTTAAATTTTATTTATTTATTATAAGTCAAAACATTCATTTTTAACGTGCACATTTCAAATAGCACCTCACCTCCCCCTAAGATTATTTTCTGGCTCCGTCCCTGCCTTCACGGCAAAGCTATAGACCAAGACCACAATACTAGAGCTCAAAGTCTTCCCAGCTAAAATCAAACAAGAAGAAAATAAATATGGCTTCGTTGTTAGAGAGTGATCGTCAATGCTAATATTAATCAAAGTTGACGGAATTCAAAAATAAAATAAATAAATAAAGTACACGGAGGACTCCACGTCCTCAATCCTCACGTCAAATGATCCAAAAGCACGCCAAATCACGACTTTGAAGACTTACAATAAATTTTATGACAATGCGCAAAGTAATTTTAGTAACATTTATTTATTTCGGGAACGTACCTTAGTAACATTATTAGAATGTGTACAACGGTGTTAACAACTTAAATGTATTAATGATAATTTTTTTATTTTAAAAATAAAAAATTTTAAATTTGAATCATGTAGTATATTGGTGGGTAGAGTTAAAGAATAAAAAAATATTATTCTCATTATATGATTTAAAATAAATATATATATACATAGATAAGTACATAAAACGATGTTCTTTTTAATTGTTACTTTTTTAAAAGAGAACAAAAACAAAATTCTTTTCCACTAGAAGTGAGTTCTCAAGTACAGCTCAAAGATCAACCTTTCTTTTAATTTTTTAACCTCAAAAGTGATGACATGGTGAAATGTGAACTGAATATAATAATGTTGGATTAAACATTTTTTTGTTTCAATTTTCAATTCAAAATTGTTTTAATT